CACTGTTGCAGGCCTTCATGCAGGAAACAGAGTAAGCTGTTCACTTAATACAGTAATAACCTACTTTGTCTTAAGTAGCCCAGACTCGGTTTAAATTATTATTGACCCAGCTGATGTGTCTATGTCTCTACTGCATATGTAGCTACATATACTTGTGAAATGTCATGAATGAATGATCCCTAAATTGTTTTTGGCTGTGTCTTTATTTTGCAGGCACACAGTGCAGCACTCGCTCTCTCAGCTTTGCGCTGTAATGGTTAAACATGAGACACCAGACCGCTGGCCTACCCTGATGCAGCTCCTCAGTCAGTCCACCAAGAGTAGCAACCCTCATGATAGACAGGTACTCACAGAACAGCTAGGAATTTAGATAGGGTTTATTTGTGCTGTAGGACTTCTACATTGGGGCTGGACTAATTTATAAGCTGTCATTACAGATTGGTGCTATTTAATTTATAATCAGTTTTATGAGTTACAGTTTCTTTAGTCATTCAAATAATTAATCTCCTGTTGTACTACAAAATCTCTGACTCTCGGGGAACATAATCACTCTCTTCTGTCTTAACAGGTTGGCCTTCTGCTGCTGAATAAAGTGATTCAGTCCAATCCTGAGGCTTTCAAACCTCACTTTTGCCAGCTGCTGCAGCTGTTCAGTACTGTACTGCAAGACCACAGCAACCCAACAACCCTGTACTACTGCATCCTCACTCTCACAGCCATAACAATATACACTGGCTCTGAAGAGATGGTGAGACTGTATTGTTGTTTTTCTTTTGGTATCAGTCAGGAACATTCTCAGATAGCATATATACGGTAGTATAGACATTTAAACTATGTCTGGCCATGCATTGCCTTTTAACACATCACAAATCAAGTTTGAACGCATGATAGTTTAAATCCTGAAGTGACATTTTGCTGCCTTACAGAACCAGATGCGTTCTATCATCCCAAGTGTGATCATTGCTCTGAAACACCTCATCATGGCAAATCAGGTAAATTATGATACATAAAAGACATTTTACAAGTATTGCTGTTTCTGTGGGTGGTCAGTTGTTTTGAGGATGTAAATCAACCATACCTTTTAAATGATTGGTAATGATAAGCGAATGAAATCCACTGAAGCTTTGGGGCTTTCTTTCTGTTTATGCCAAAAAGGATTTAAAGCTTTGGGTCTTCAAAAAAAGCAAATACAGAGACACCTGGTGGCTTGCTTCAGCATTAAAACACCACCCTGATTTGAACAGTTATAACCTCATATGTGTGTAATAAAAGTCCAAGAATCCAGTGTGTTATTATTAAAATGTGCGACACAATAGTGAGGTTTGAAGCTTCAGATGTCATCAGTCATGTGGTTTGCTTCATTTGCTAAAGCTCTGACACAGTGTATTACACCTCACTGGAGTTAAACAAGCTTTGGTGCTTTGGTATCATCCACCCATCTCTAATTATTGGGCTTGTGTATCTGGGCAGGATCAAGCCAGTGAGGCCATGGAGGTCTTTAATGAGCTCATGGAGAGTGAGGTGTCAATCATCATCCCTTATGTTGCTGACATAGTCCGCTTCTGCATAGAGGTTTGTGCTGAACATATATAGTCTTTCCTTGCCACTGATGTATTCTGAAATTAAATATTTCAAGCTAGCAAATAATACCTTTTATCTGAATGATCAAAGATTGATACATTTTACAATTTGAGGAATATATGTTCAATATCAATGTTTGTGTTAGGTGGGCAGTGACACCACTCTGAGTAACTCTCTTCGGGTGAAAGCTCTCTCCTCCATCGCCTTCCTCATCAAATTGAAGAGCAAGGTAAAGTCAGCCATCAACTACTACCAATACTTTGCTTACAACTGTCCTTTAGTTTGTGATGAATAACAGGGATCAAGAACAGTATCTGTAGTCATGGTGCACCTCAGTCATTTGATAAATCTGTACAAGAGATAGAGGGCAGCTGTCTCAATCCAGTCTTGATTTTCAAGAATAGTTAACAAATTAAAAGTTTTGTATACAGAGAGCTGGAGGAGAACTGGACACATATACTGTTGGAATTTAAAGGTTTTCAAAGGAGTTTCCTGTTATAGGGAAATTGAAAAGCAAACTTCCTTCAGTTCTCTGGGAAATTTCTTCACCTAAATTTTGGGAAAAAATGTACTATTAAAATGCTCATCATTTGATCATAGCTGGAGTTTTCAGTAGGTTTTAGAGATACAAATTCAATACAAGACATACACCACACACTTCATTTATCTAAATGTGGTATAATTCATTAGAAACAAATGTTTTGCATATTTCTATGTAAAGTCTTTTTTTTGACTGCATGTAATCAAAGAAATGGAAAATTTATACTTGACCAGAAATAAAGTGTCTGGTTTAGTAAGAATATATTTTCTTTGCTGTACATCATAGACGGTGCTGAAGCAGAAGCTACTGAACCCCATCCTGCAGGCCATTTTCCCTGTACTCACTGCAGCTCCTCCACCTGGCGAGCAGGACCCAGAGGATGAAGAGAATGACAGCGGAGATGGCACAGACAGTGACAATCCCAAACAGTGTGCCATCCAGGTAGGGAAAAGCTGCATAACAGTATTTATATAATGGGTGTTCTTCTGCTATTAAGTAAATGCAACACATACAGTATATGTACAACATATAAGTAAAACATAAGCTTTAGTATATTCATTGTAGAACTGCAAACCAAATTAATCATTGTAATCAATACAAGGTTATACTTTCATTTATATTTTCAGATTATTGACACTATGGCACTTCATATGCCTCCAGAGAAACTGTTTCAACAACTGGTAAGCTATCAACTGTAAATTTGGATGAGAACAATAATTGAGAGGTTATGATTAGGGATGCGCATTTGAATTATATTTTCTCACCGATAGCCAATGCTGATTAACCGACCAATAACCATTAACTGACAAGATTAAAATGCTAGACTATTCAGAATGGATGAATGTCTGTGATCCATTAAAAAAAAAAAAGCTTTTTTCCATAAGGGCTTTATTTTTACATGTGCAAATACAGCAAAACAACAGAACATGAATTTGAACATGAACAGAACACACATCGTCACATCACACACCTGTGGAATTGTGAACGGAGTAAAACACCTTAGTAAAATAGCTTCTGTGTGCTGCTGACTTGAGACAGCTTGTGTTACTTTAGGGGGTGTGTGATATATTGGATGTGGGCCACAAATGTTACCTCCTTTAAAAGTACATTGTTCAGAGTAAAAGAAGACCACTCTCATAGCCTTTATTTGTCTGAAAACTGCAGATACTATGTATTCATGCAAGTAAACCTTAGAACCATGACTTCTGTGCCCTGGGAGGTAAAGTGTAGGACAGAAAAAGGCAAGGGAGGCTCTTTTGTTTTTAATTTTAATTTGTATTAACTTTGTTTTATGCTTGGAATTGGTAGCCTTTAATTAAATCTAATATAATTATTGATTCTTTGAGACCACATAAACCTGAATTTTTGTTGCTTCAGGGTGAGCACAGGTCTCTTTTATTGGAGCTCTGTCACTGCCCCCTGCTCCCATCATCTGCTCTCGTTCACGTAGAAGTGCTGGTACCTGTACTACATGCAGACCCACCTTGAGCAGTGAGATTAACAGAAACACACATAGCAAATCTCTGCTGAGAGCCCTGTAATGAAAACCTCCTCCAGCTTAATAATCAAAGTCCCAACAGGTTAACAAAACAGAAAATTGTAGCCTACTGGTTTTTGTTCAGATACAGCATGTCAACATGTTGTAGGGTTTGCCTGTTTACTGTGAGACCCACTGTGGAGAATACAGTTACTGATGTCCCAGGAGTGCAAAGATGGCACCTTACTAGTGGCCAGCCCAGGGAAGCATGTGTGATTAGCTTTCCACCACACGGCCCCATGACGTTATATGTTGGCCCTGTAGCCTATGTTTTTTTTGTTTGTTTGTTTTGTTTTGTTTACCCGATATTATTAATTGCTTGGAATTCTTACTGTCGGTTAATGGTTAAACGGTTAAGGTTGTGCATCCCTAGTTATGATGAATGTTATCTTATGTGTCAATTTTTTGGGAGTTCCTCTGACATTACTAAGTACTCATTAATCATTACAAGTTAACTTCTGACATACAGGTCTGAATAACCCAGTTTTACAGTGATTAAGTGTGAACCCTGAATGAGGTACCTGCCTCATGACAGTGTATTGTGTTTTCCTGCTAGATGCCCTTCACCCGGACCTGCCTTGTCAGTGAAGACCCATATCAGAGGAAAGGGGGTCTCTTGTGTCTTGCTGTGCTGGCTGAAGGATGTGCTGACCACATGCGCACCAAGTGTGTCTAGTATACAGTATACAGTACATGGACAAAGGCATTTTTTGTATGAAGAGCCAGAGTCAGAGTCTTGTGCTCTGTTGGCTGAATAATAACAGAATTTGAGTGTTTACCTGTGTATGTCTTTTAGGATGCTGTCGTCAGTGCTGCAAACAGTGTGCCAGAGTCTTTCTGATAGCAATCAGGTGGTGCGTAGTGCTGCCCTCTTTGCCCTGGGACAGTTCTCTGAACATTTACAGGTGACACATCACAATAGTACATACAGTGTGCTGTTTTCTTTGCTTATATTTGAGTTATATTTATTTAAAGTATAGCATTTTGATACATCACCTTTTAATAAACATTTTGTGAATAAATATTAGATTGTTTTAATAACATTTTATATGTTTGAAAACCACAGCATTATAAAAGCTGCCATTTTAAATTGTTGTAAAAATTATTTTTATTGTAAAACAGTTGAATGTTTACAGGTTTAAATTGGAACCGTGCATGTAGGAACATTGTAGTACAGAAATGGATCTCTTAGCACCGAGCTGACGCAGAGTATTTCTTATATAGTGTTATTTTTTTTACATGGTATAATAATAGTAATGTAGGTGTACCTCAATCTCTAGTTTTACAGAAAAAAGAATGATTAGGGCTAAATACCTTGAACTTTGTTTTCTCTTGTTCAATCTGTTCTCTACTTGTGCTTTCTAGCCTGAAATAAGTCAGTATTGTGCAGAGTTGATGCCTTTGCTACTGGGATACCTTTCATCCTTGAACCAGGCTAAAGTTGGTCATGTCACCAAAGCTTTTTATGCTTTAGAGAACTTCATGGAGAACATAGGTAAGCTAAAAGAAGGTTTAAAGAACCCATATTTGGCATTGAACCAGTAAGATAATAAACTAGCTAACAAACTACAGAAGTACATGTTTTTTTCCTTTATTTTTTAATCTAAACAGGATCAGATATTGAGCCCTACTTGCCAACCCTAATGGACACGATGCTGTCTGCCCTCATAAACACTGAAAAACTGAAGATAAAAGAACTTGCTGTGTCTGCAATAGGTGCCATAGGTAAGAGGCTGTCATAAAAACATGCAAAAGAGAATAATCTTTTTTTTAATTTGATATTTCATTAGTAAATGTTCAATCTAATACCCTTACAGTATGTCATACTTTCTTCCAAATTAAAATACTGGAAAGCACAAGAAGACTGTCAAAATCCCATAATAGTGTAAATTTGAGCATCAGTTGTGGAATAGGGTAGCACAGAGCTGGGCAATTTGATAGGTTGAAAGAGAGGACTCTTATTTTAGCGAAACAATTTCATTCATGATGTCAGGTCATCTCTGACTCCTAGGGAATCGGTCATTATTTAGTGAGGCTCTTGGTTTAATCACAACCTGCAGATACTTGATCCAGCTAGCAAAGAAAAAATGTTTCACTGCTTGACTAAAACTGCTGGGAATCATTTCTTATCAGCCAATGCTGCCAAGGAGCTGCTGGTTCCCTACTTCACTTCGATTATTGAAAGCTTGAAGGGCTTCCTGACTGCCACCACAGAGGAAATGAGATCTGTGCAAAGTCAGTCACTGGGTAAGTATACCCTAAACAATTGCATCTAAAGCAAAAGGTTGTGGTATTTATACATTTAGGTTAGACAAAGCACAGCAAAGGTTAAAGGTTGCAAACCCAAATCAGCAAGAAATGTCCTTTGAAGAAAGTTTAACCGAAACTTCTGTGCATTTAGTTTGTACTAAATCAGTGTGCAGTAGTCCTTCAGTTTGATTTTTTTGATTTGATTTATTCTTTCAAGCATGTAAAGACAGTTGATATGTCAACACATATAATTTTACACATATCCAACAAATGCTAATCCAATATCAATTTGCTTATACCTAATACATGCTTGAATGGAGTAGAAAGAAGTCAGACTTATCCAGTCCTACCCCATGACATCATCTTACATCATTGGTTTGCAAGCAGTATCTCTACATAAATAATTCTCTTCTACACCACACAAGTAATATACTAAAGAATTATAACAGTGTTAACAT